TTAGAAGGTTCTATAATCATAGAAAAACCGCCGAAGCTCGATATTTGATTCAAGGCTTCCGCCAAAAGAGTGGTGAGTCCTTAAGTGCGGCTTGGGAACGATACAAAGAACTCCAATGTTAATGTCCACATCATGGAATACCTAAGTATCAACTCATTCACACTTTCTATGGTGGTCTCTCACCTCAAGGAGGAACAAGCTTAGATGCCGGAGCCGGTGGACCAATAATGAATAAAGCAGAAAATGAGGTGGAACAAATCATAGAGGAGGCCGCAAGGTATTATGAAGATTGGTATGAAGGAGATAGGGATGCTACATCTAGCAAGGGTGTTTATGCCTTAGAGAAAGCTAACACAATCAACAACCTCTCCATCCAAATCTCCAACATGACCAAACAAATGGATGAGCTAATGAGAGAAAAATCCAATCCTCAAAGGAATACCTCCCCTCCAACCAAGGGGGGCAATGGTATGAACGCCCCTTCTTCTTCTTCTTATAATTCAATGCCTCAAGGATGTGTGTTTTGTGCTAATTGTGGAGCCTATGATAATGATACCTCTCAATGTGTATATTCTTGTGAAGTTTAACCCCCTCTCCAAAAACATGATGATAATGTGGAAGATATTAATGCTATGAATTTTGCTCCTGGAATGGGGAATATGGGGAACAAGAGGCCAAACACCAATCAAATAGGGAATTGGAATCAAAGTGGAACTGTGGTTGGAACCAAAGTGGTGGTGTTTATGATAACCAATATCATGGTGGGAGAGGCCCTTCCAATTTCAATGGTAGAGGCTACTCTAACCAAAGAGAGTATGTTAATCAAAACTAACAACCTAACTCCCGATACTATGACCATTAAAATCAAAATTGTGGTCATCAAAGTAACAAGGGAAACAATCAACAAAGCAATGTTCTTTACCAAGGCACCGGAGGAAATAAGGGTCAATATGTCTCTAACTATGCCCAAATTAATAGGCCTCAGGATTTCCATCAACCCCAACTTCCCCCACGTCAACAACCTCTTCAACTTAAAGCTTCGCCATATGATCCCGTGATGGCTAAAATAGACACCTTATTGAAATTACGTGAGGAGGATCAAAGGAGGCATGAAGAGGAACTAAAACGAACCAATGCTCATATATAAAAATGCTTGAAACTCAAATAGCTCAACTTGCTTCTAACTAATCCCCTTCTTCTTCCTCTTCCACCATCCCAAGTCAAGGAGTCAACCCAAAACCTTTGTATGGCGTGACAACTAAGAGTGCAAAGGTAGTGGGGAGCGACCCGTTAGTGGAGGAAGAGCCTCAAGAACAAGTGGAATTAGAGAATGAGGGTGAGAGAGCCAATGAGCCATTGAGTGTTGAGAAAGAAGAGGATGTTGAGGTGACAATGAAGAAGGAAGATACCCCCTTGCCCCTAAATTGTCAACCTAGAGAGGAAAAGCTACCCTTTCCACAATGATTTGTGAGAGCTAAGCTTGATGCTCAATTTGGGAAGCTTTTGGAGGTGATAAAGAATTTGCATTTTTTCTTCCTTTTGTTGATGCTATGAAACAAATGCCCCACTATTCCAAATTCTTAAAAGACCTTTTGAGTGGGAGAAGGGAGTGTGAAAGGGAGAGCTTGACTGCTAATTGTAGTGCCGTTATTTCCAATAAGCTTCCTACCAAGTTGAAGGATCCGGGTAGTTTCTCTATCCCTTGTTCCATTAATGGTGTCGAGTTTGACAAGGCATTGTGTGATTTAGGAGCAAGCGTGAGTCTTATGCCCTATTCCATCTACCAAAAGCTTAGTGTAGGAACCCTTTCACCCAAAAATGATAATCTCCAACTAGCGGACCGTTTTACCAAGTTTCCCATGGGTAAAATTGAGGACATTCCCCTTAGGGTTGGAAAGTTCACATTTCCTGTGGACTTTTATGTGCTAGAGATGGATGAGAATGAGAGGATTACTATAATTTTGGGTAGGCCATTTCTAGCTACTTGTAGACTAATTATCGATGTGAAGGAGGGTAAGATGACCCTAAAAATTGATAAAGATTTAATTGATTTTGATTTTAATATTGTCATGCAACAACCTTCCTCAAGTAGTGAATGTTATAGAGTTGATGTTCTTGATAATGTTCTTAATGAATTTTCTCACTCTTCTTTGTATGCTACTAACGTTTCTCTTGAAAGTGTATTATTAAATGAATTCAAGATAGGTGCTCACAAGAAGGACATGCAATTTTCTAAGGATTTACTTGAGGAAAGCAAGAGGAAGTTTAAAGATGAAAGCATGGAGGAAGAGGCCCCCTTTATTCATAATCTCTTTCAAGTTGAAGAAAGTGAAGAGGGCTTCAATGGTAAGGGAGCACCAAAGTTAGACTTGAAACCTCTACCTTTGGGATTGGGTATGCGTATCTCGACTCCAATGAGTCTTTCCCTATGATCATCAATTCTAATCTAACGGAGGAGCAAACCTCCCTCTTGATCGATGTTTTGAGAAAATACAAGAAGGCTTTGGGATATACCATTGATGACATCAAAGGTATAAGCCCATCCTTCTACATGCACAAAATCGATCTAGAGGGAGATGCTAGACCCGTTAGACAAAGCTAAAGGAAGCTTAACCCTTTCATGCAAGAGGTTGTGCGGAAGGAAGTGGCTAAGCTCCTTGATGCGGGAATTATATACCCAACTGCTCATAGTGATTGGGTATCTCCTGTACAAGTCGTGCCTAAGAAGGGTGGCATAACGAAAAGTGAAAAATGATAATGATCAACTAGTCCCTAATAGGCTTGTTACTGGTTGGCGTATGTGCATTGACTATCGCCAAATCAATACAAGCACATGCAAAGATAATTTTCCACTACTTTTCATTGATCAAATGTTGCAGAGGCTTACAAAGTATTCTTTCTATTGTTTCCTTGACGGTTATTCGGGATTTTTCCAAATCCCGATTGACCCCAAGGATCAAGAGAAAACGACCTTTACATGTCCCTACATTACTTACGCGTATCGTAGAATGCCTTTTGGACATTGTAACACCCTCGCAACATTAAAAAATTGCATGATGTCAATTTTCAGTGACATGATTGAAGATAAGATAGAAGTCTTCATGGATGACTTCTCTGTTGGAGGAGCCACTTATGAAGATTTTCTATCCAATCTATCTCGTTGCCTAGAGAGATGTGAGAGGGAAAACCTTGTGTTGAATTAGGAGAAATGCCATTTTATGGTAGAAAGCGAAATTGTTCTTGGGCATAAGATCTCCCATGCCGGCATTGAGGTAGATAAAGCCAAGGTAGAGGTTATTGAGAAACTTCCTCCCCCCACCAATGTGAGGGAAGTGAGATCCTTTCTTGGCCATGCCAGGTTCTATCGGTGTTTTATAAAATATTTTTCATTGATTGCTAAGCCTCTCACATCCCTCTTGTAGCAAGATAAATAGTTTATGTTTGATGATGTTTGCCAAGAGTCTTTTTGTAGGTTAAAAGAGGCCCTTTGCATCGCCCCAATCGTCTAAGGACCAGATTGGTCTTTACCATTTGAACTCATGTGCGATGCAAGCGATGAGGCTATTAGATTGGTTCTCGAGCAACGAAAGGGAGGAAAACTTCATGTCATTCACTATTTGTCCAAAACTCTCAACGATGCCCAACGAAATTACACTACTACTTACCGAGAAGGAATTCTTGGCAGTTGTCCATTCTTTTGAGAATTTTAGAACCTATATCATCGGTTCTTGGACTATAGTGTACATCGACCACTCGGCTCTCAAATATTTGATAAGCAAGAAGGAAGCTAAGCCAAGATTGTTTAGATGGGTTTTAGTCCTTCAAGATTTTGACTATGAAATGAGAGAAAAGAAGGGGGCCAAAAATGTGGTGGCGGATCACCTTTCAAGGCTAGGTGGTGCAAGGTTTCAAGATGATGGTTTGCCAATAGAGGATGCCCTAAGGGATAATGTGCTATATTCCCTTGAGGTGAAGTCAGAGCCATGGTATGCGGATATAGTGAATTATTTGGCTTTTGGCGCCATACCTCCGAATTTCACTTCATAACAACGTCGAAGACTCAAGCATGAGGCCAAGAGGTACATTTGAGATGATCCTATTTTGTTGAAGAGAGAAATCGATGGTTTGTTGAGGAGATGCGTCCCCAACGACGAAGTTCAAAGTGTTCTCCATATGTGCCACTCTTCTTCTTTTGGTGGGCATATGAGTGCTCAAAAAACCGCCTCCAAGGTTCTTCAATCCACTACAACAAATCATCACTCCCACGAATTATGCCACGGGAATTCCAAATTCGTGGCATAATTTCGATTAGCCACGGGAAAAAAAACTATGACACAAAACCTGAATAAGAAGAATAATTTATGCCACGGGTATTTATTTTCCCGTGGCAAATATCACACTTGTGCCACGAGTAGCGCTTTTCCCGAAGCAAACTTTATATTTGTGCCACAAACAGCTATCTTCCCGTGGCAAACGTTTTATTAGTACTGCGAGTCGTTTTTTTTTTTTTCGTGGCAAATTTTACACTCGTGTTACATGTAATAATTTTTTCGTCACAAGCATACAATATTTATGCCATGATTTTTGCTAAAAATGTAAAAAATTTTGTAACTAGATCTACTCATGACATGGAAAAGAGGAAATCATAGCATACTATAACTAGTTTATATAAAACAATAATACAAATTAGAGGTCAAATATATTTATATTTCTAATACACACTTATATTTTCTTTATAAATATGCTTGGTTTATTTATTAGTAGAAATTTAAAGTCACCTAAAGAATGCATTAGTTTTATAAAAACCTCAACTCCGATAATCTGTATTATTAGTCATATCAGCAGTCGCGTGATAAAGTCCCTATGAAAAATAATGTTTATTACACCCATCAAACTTAAAAAAAGGGAATTTAGCTTCAATAATCAATACCAATAAAACAATACGTTTTCATAAAATTTCAATAGAGAAAATATACTCTAAGAAATTTTAAAATTTTTTCTCTTCTTATTTTAATCGTCTGCATTCACAAGTAAATTCCCTTATTTCAATTTTTTTTTTTAAACCAAATGACTTCCCTTGAATGTACGAGTAATAAATCTGTAAAAGTTTTAATAACAGGCAACTTGAGTAAATAAAAAACTACCTCAGTTTAACAACCCCCCAAATGATCCGTTCTCTTGCTATATTTCCCCTCCTTTCTCTCTCAGTTTCCATTGAAGCGCACCCATCGTACTCCATTGAAGCGCACTCAAAGTTCTCCATTGAAGCAGTTTCTAAGGTAAAATTTTTATTTCTTTTTTTCATCATCCAGTTTCAATTTCTCAATCTAGGATTTTATGTATCCTAAATTTTATTCACATTACACACAAATTGAGGGTTCCAAACAAAGCTCAATGGCATCCTCCATTCCTCCATTTCTTGGCTTTCGATTCATCATCCTCCACCGTCGTCTACAAGTCCTGGATTCAATTTGTGCGATTTATAAGGTGGAATTCGATGAATTTTCCTCAAGAACTAAAATATCCAGTCTTAATTCGAGAAAATTCGAAAAATTCGACACTAAATTTTGGGCCAATTTAAACGGTTTTTCATTCAATGATTCAAGAAACAGCAAATTCGAATCAATTTCGAATCAAAAATCAGAAATTTGAGGTTAGGGTTTCTGGGTTATTTAGCTTTGCATTATATTTTGGCTTTTTGGTCCAATTATTCACGTTAAATGCTTTAATTTCTTGGGCTTAATTTGATTTGATTTCTTTGTAATGGTTATTTGATATCAAATTAGTTCCACTATTCGCAATTGAACTAACAATTCTTTTTTAAGGGCAAAATTCCCTATTTTTTCTTCTTCAATTGGGTTATTTTATTAGGTTCTTGCTCAATTTGTATCTACTGGATTAATGTATACAATTCTAAGCATTTTTGTCTTTGTTTTTTTTTTTAATTTTTTATCTCTGTAATTTTTTTATTTATTCAAACTATCTAAGTTTCTTGAATTTGATGGATGTTTGTTATGTATACCTGCATATTAAATATAAATTATGGTCATTTGTGATATAAGTGGTTGTTGATGAGTAGTTATTGTTGAAAACTAGAAATCATGCCTTCACATTGTACACTTTATGAGTTTGTGACATTAGTTTGACTGGTAATGTATTCTGAAACAATATGTAAAATGTTAGTTTGATACCTTAGTTTTATTATTATGTATTTGAAACCAAAATAAATTGTGGGTGAAGGGTGAATATTGAGAGTCACCGTGATCCTTGCCAATGCAAGATAAGCTAAGTCACTAGATTGATGATTCGAGCTTTTAGTAAAACCGACTCCTTTTAATGAAATTGTTTGATGATGAACATGTTAATTGAGAGGGGATGTGATCTTATAATTACTAATAAGATAAGGAACTCAAGTTTGTTTAACCGACTCCTTATTATTTGATAATTGTATCAAATTTGGCGTTTAAGATGTTTCAGATCCCTTTAATGTCAAGATCTAGGTTCAAAGTGGGTGCCCCTCCTGCCCTTTTAAAAAGTTGTTTAACTTTCATTAGCCAAGATAATATTAGTGTCAGTATATTAGCCTTTTCAAAGTCATTAGTTGGGTGATAAGGTTTCTAATTTTCAAACCTGAGTTTGTTATTGATTAGTACTTTAATTATTTATACAGGAGGAAGTGGGGTTGTTACTAGTTTATGATGTCAAATTGTACCTTGCTGGTACAACATCTAACTCACAGGATGGTGTCACAATTGTTTTTGGAAAGTGTTTGCTTGTGCTCTAAGACATGGCTGAGCAAAATAGTCCTCTCTTGGTAAGTTAATCCTTTTCAGTTAATCTAACTAAGTTTATAACTTTCTTCCGTTACTGAAATCAACCTGTTTATTAATCATACTCATAAAATATCTATGTTAGTTGGTTATAAGTATCATTTCTTGATACTTGCTTGTGCGCTATTATTGCCTATGAAATTGATATGCGTGCTTCTGGTTCTGCTGCTGGTTTTTCTTCATAATCTGTTCATAAAGCATCACGGTTTGTTGAAGTTGATGTCCTATGTGTGTTTTATTAATATGTATAATAGTTTTAAGCTTATATTAGTTCAGAACACTGGTAGTACCTAAGTCCTATATATGTGATGATATGTGCATTTCTTCAGATGTCAAATTTTTAGACTATAAGCACAAGCAAACTACCACTGTAGCTTTTGTAAACAAGTATATAGCCAGTTAGGCCTCTACTGTATCTTTTCGTTGTGTATTAAAAAAACAGGGATTGTAATAGCCAATATGACTCCACTATACCTTGTTTTGAATATGAACTCTCTCCTTCAATGAGGCTTGCAGCCACTACTGTTTTCTAGTGCTCAAAAGGGAAATCCATAGTAGGTGCTTAAAAATCAGTAATAAATCAAAGTAAAAAAAATCTTCTTTTTTTTAGAAGATATTGTAGATAGGGTGTATAGTATGCTACAACTAATCAAGTGAAGAAAAGCCAGGAAATTTGCTCTATTGTGTCTTTCACGTGAATTTCTGTCATTTTTTCTGTCTCTGTGTGCTCTGATTGTACCTTATGCTTGTACGTGCATGGAAGACACTTCTTTTAATAGTAACTAGTGGGAGTGAAAGATATTTTCTTAGGACTAATAGTGCTCCTCATGAGAGATGGAAAAAAGAATATTCTTATGGATGTGCTGGAATCTTTAATGCGCCTGTTGTTCTATCACTATATGCCAAACTATTTGAAGAGGAATGCATTGCTCTAGGGTGCTCCAAGAAAGCAAGGTGTTTAAGATGCTCCATGGTTTACCGTTGTTGTTGTAGTTGGGTGCTATTACTGCATGCTGCTCTCTGCTGATTGTTGCTACTACCCATGCTGATTGTTGCTGCTCCTATTGTAGTGTATACTGATTTTTTTTTTTTGGATGATGTGTATATAATTTACAAGCAATTAATGAAATTATCATAGTTTTATGTGTATATACTATATATGCTCTATGTATGTTTATCAATTACAAAACCACTACCTTTAAGTTGCTTTGATTCGGTGCCTATCCTAGTGTTGTTAGCCACACGGTAATAATTATATCAATTAAGTTTATTAGCCAAGGTAATATTTGTGGCTAACAAGCTAATTAGCCACGATAATATATGTGGCAAACAAGATAATGTGGCAAGTGAATTTGTTTGCCACATGAGTACCCGTGGCATAAATTTTATAATTTGCCACGACATTTGTTTTCCCGTGGCGAAATCCTAGCCACGGCCTCTTGTGCCACAGGAGTAAATTTCAAAATTCCCGTGGCTAAATTACATAGCCACGGGAATTTTAAACTTGTGCCACGATTTTACACGTGGCACAAAGGTCAATTTGTTGTAGTGATCTATTCTCTTTTGGCCTTCTCTATTCAAGGATGCTTGGATGTTTTTCAAGACTTGTGATAGATGTCAACGGATAGGAAATATTTCTAGGAAGGATGAAATACCGCAAAACCCCATCCTTGAGCTTGAAGTTTTTGATGTGTGGGCTATAGATTTCATGGGCCCTTTCATTTCTTCACATGGGAACAAGTATATCTTGGTTGCCGTTGACTATGTCTCTAAGTGGGCGGAGGACGTGGCTTCCCCTACAAACGATTCTAAGGTGGTGGTTAATCTTTTTAAGAAGGTGATTTTTCCGAGAATTGGTGTTCCAAGGGCCATAATTAGTGATGGGGGGTCACATTTCAAGCACAATACCTTCGTTAGACTTCTTGATAGATATGGAGTATCTCATAAGTGAGGGCTCGCTTACCATCCTCAAAAGAGTGGTCAAGCGGAGATCACTAATAGGGAGCTCAAAGTGATCTTGAGAAGACGGTGGCAAGGATAAGGAAAGATTGGTCATCTAAGTTCATTGACTCTTTATGGGTTTATAGGACCGCTTTCAAGACTTCAATAGGGACTACTCCCTACAAGCTTGTTTAAGGGAAGAATTGTCACTTGCCCGTAGAGATGGAGCATCGAACTCATTGGGCTATCAAGCAAATCAACTTTAACATCCATAGCGCGGGTGTGCAAAGAATTCTTGAGTTACATGAGTTAGAAGAGTTGAGAATGAACGCTTATGATAGTGCAAGCATGTACAAGGCAAGGACCAAAGCTTGGCACGATGCTCAAATCTTAAAAAAGGACTTTGTTGAAGGCCAAAAGGTTCTCCTCTACAATTCTCGTTTGAAGCTCTTCCCGGGCAAGCTTAGATCGAGGTGGAGTGGTCCATTCATTATCACAAGAGTGTTTCCCTATAGTTATTTTGAGATCGCTAATGATGAATATTCCCGGTTCAAAGTTAATGGTCACTGTCTTAAGCCTTATTATGAAGGGAATTCCATTGATAAGCCGGTCATGTATCCACTCTTTGATGTGCATCATAAATTTGATCCTCCTTGATTAGTTCAAGGAACGTTGAGCTTTTCTAACCCTTTTCTACTCTTCTCTTTTCTTGATGCTTTAATTTTTCCATCTACAATTTTGGATTGATGGATTTATGTTTTTCAGGTTTTCATTCTGTTGGAATCGTTGGTATACCTTGCCTTTAGCATGATTGTATGGTATTTTAGTGTGTTTTGAAGAGAAGTTTTTGTGCATATTTTGAAGCTTTTGTTTTTGATGGAAGTCCGAGCGAGCTCCATTGCGGTTCGAATACTCTCAATCTAGAAGCAAAACTGCTGCAAAATGAGAATTTTTGAAAATTTGGGTGGTTCGACCAAACTCCCTGAAGGTTTGGTCGAACCTTGTAAAAAGTTTGACAGAACTTTCTTGAGTTCGCCCGCTCCTACACTGGAAGTGTAATATGAAAACTTTTTACCAGAATTGCAGGAATGAAAGATTCAGAGTAGGTTTGACCGAACCCAGGGGTGGTTCGATTGAACCTTGGTGTGACCGAACTATCTAAAGTTCGGCCACTCCTATTTTGGAACAAAAATCTGAAAACTTTCTGCCTAATCTGAAAACTTTCTGCCTAATTTTTGAATTTAAAGTTTGAGAGTAGGTTCGACCGAACCTTGAGGTAATTCGACCGAATTGTGGGTAAAGTTCGACCAAACCTACCCAAGGTTCGAACGAACCTTTGTCGGACAATTTTTTGTAAGGCAAAGAAAAGCCGCACAACTCTTCTTCTCCATTCCCCTTCATTCAACTTTATTTCTCTTATCTTCTCCTTCTCCTTCTCACTCTAAAACTCTATTGTCACACCCCATTTCAACCTCAAATCTCCAACAAAATCACTCCAATCTTCTCTATTTCTCACTTATTTTTCATCCTTTACTCAATTTCTACAATCTACACCCGAAATTCCTCACAAAACTCCACCTTTTCAAAGTTTCCCCAATTTCTAGGGTTTGAGTGAATTGCTGTTTTTGAGTTTCTACATGCTTCCAATCAATTGTGGTATTGTTTTTCTAGCTTTTGCAAGTTCATTTTGTCCATTTCTCTTATTTTTTCCATGTTTTACATGTTAAAGTATGAATTGTGTTAATACTGAGATTGTTAGTAATGGCTTGTTTGATGTTTGTGGTTATTGGGATTTCCTTGTTGCAATTGATTGGTTGTTGATAGTAGAACTTGCTTTATGATGATTATGCATGTATACCTTGATTTTATTTGGTTTCAATGTATTTGCTTGAATATGTTCATTTCACATTAGGTTGTTTTTGCTACTACTTTTTGATTGAGAAATTTATGAGTTGGATATATGTAGTTTTGAGATTGTTATTCATTGTTCTTGGTTTGATATTGATGGTTTGTGAGTGATTATCATGAATTTAGGGGACATCATGCCGTATTTCACCGAGACTTTCTTAGGATTTGCATATGAATGCCAATGAACTTTTCGTTCTTGCCTTGGTTCATAAGTGTTTATTAATGCCTTGAATTGCATTGTTGTTATCCTCTACATCTATTTCACAATTCATGGCTATTACTTTCATGCACACACTTTTTATCTTGGCAAGCTTTTTATGACACCTCTTGGCTTGCATCTTCCTAATGATATTCTTGGTTATTTTGTAGAGTCATAATGTTCGGTAAAAGTAAAAGCAAATCCAAGAGGAAGAGGGCGGGTGAGCCCTCAACAACCTCTTTCCCACCTCCGTCGGGCATTAACGATCACGACATCATTGCTCCCAATGAGCATTTTTTGAATGTCTACCAATCACTCATCTCTAGTCCAATTCGATCAACAAGGTTCTTCTGTGCTATAACCTTGAGGAGACTCATCATCTTGGACGAAGTGGTCCGGCCTGCTCAAAACTTTTGGTGGGGTGATTTCATCCACCTTTCCGCTCACACTTATGAGCGAGTTACATTGGAGTTCCTTGCTTCTCTCCGCAAGGAAGTATTATAAGAGGATGATGATGGCAATGAACCTCAACTTGTTATTCACTTCCACATGTTCAATGAGGATCATTCTTTAACCGAGAGTGAACTAAATGAAATCTTATTGCCCTTTCTTTGAAGGATGGCCTACATGGACCAAATAGAATTGCTCCCCTACGTGCTACAAAACAGAGAGGAAGCGGAAGAGGGGTTTCCTCCTTATGCTCTCTCTATCATCGCTCTCTGTCAACAGCGTTTCATCAACTACACAACCAACAAACGCAAGTTTATCCTCTTGGTGGACAAAGTGGAAGAATGGTGTGTCCTTCCGGACCCCAATCTCACTTCGATGGACCATTGCGATACTCTAAAATGGAGGATCACCCGACAGTTCATCCTCGACGACTTAAGGAGGAACCGAACCCGGGGCACTATTCCACATTCTTAACCGGTCCACCAT